GCGTGCAACCTGCTATTTCATCCAGCCGTGGGCCCAGGCCCAAGCCAGAGCCCGCCCCCGGCCCATTCTAGTGAAGTCTTTGAATGATGCATCCAGTCCTTTCTGGCCCGCTGTCCCCAGCTGGGTTTTCCATCAGACCTCAGACCTGGCAAGGAAGTGAAGTCAGGAGTAGTGGTGTCTGGATTGCGGCGGCTGTTGACCCCAGGGCAGGGCTACCCACCCCCGCTCCCCTCTCCAGTCCCCCTCCCCCGCCCGCAGCCCAGCCCTGGTCCCTGGACTCCCAGAGCCACCTATAGGCTACTGCAGGAACTGCTGTTGGGCGGGAACTTCCCAGCCTGGCTCCAGGGGGCGCTCTAGACAGCTTTTTAACCGGAAGGTCTTATGGACCCCAGTGGTCCCCAGCCCATTCCCTTGTGGATGGTTGGGAGCACTGCTCTGGAGGATACAGGAAGGAGGAGAGAGGGGAAATGTGGTGATGGGGAGGGCCCTGGGTTGGAGGTCTGGAGATGAGACCCCACTCTGCTGGGCCACCAATTCCCTGGGAATCTGTTTAACTCCTAGGCGCAGCCGTCCCACTAACACAGGGTGTGGTGTGTGGGATGATTATTAAGGTCCCCTCCAGTTGGGGTAACCAGTGCATCTTGGGAAATCCTTCAGCCCTGCATAAACCTAGATGATTGGTCCCCTATTTCTGATTCTAGCCAGTAGGGAGACCCTAACATCACTGAGGATTTGAGTGCATATCCAATTTCCAGCATGTGTTGGTCTAGAAGGCCACCTAGTCTCTCTGAGCCTCAGTTTTCTTGCCTGTTAAATGGGAATAACAACCATGCTTACCTCACAGAACTGTTTCAGGGGTAGACTTGGTTACATTTTAATGTTTGCTTAGTGGCCAATCCAAGCCCAGCCCAGAACAGTGCTTGGTGATGTTTTGATGGGGAGGAAAAAGCCATAAAAAAACAGAAAGGCTGGACGTGGTGGCGCATGCCTGTAATCCCAGCACTCGGGAAGCTGAGGCAGGAGGATTATTGTGAATTTGAGACTAGCCTGGATTACAAAGCAAGCTCAAGGTCAACCAGAACTGCATAGTAAGACCCTGCCTCAAGAAAAAAAGGAAGAAAACAAAAAAAGACCTGGCTATCAGCTTGAGTTTGCTACATGGTAGCTGTCCATGGCTTTGAACAAGTGAGTTATTCTTTCCGAGCTATGAGTTCCTTAACTGTAAAATGGGAATAATATAAATAACTTTAGCTGTTAAATGGGTGGGAAAAAAATCACAAGATTGGACTTCAGGGGAAAATATGTTCAGTCTCTGTTAACTACAGCCCACATTCTTCACAAATGTGTGCTTTTTAAATGTGTATGGTACTGGAGATTAAACCCAGGGCCTTGCACATGCTAGAAAAATACTATGAAATCTATACTTCCAATTGTACAAATCAAACATACATTCTGCATTTTGAAAAAGTTAAACTCTTTTTGGATAAGAAAGATGTCCTTTTAGGGGCCACTCCTGTCTTTTGTCGTCAGATTTATAGATGTGTTTCCTCTGGGGGAGACGTCCCTTTTCATCCCCTGCACGGGCCCCTGGTTCTGTCCACTCATGCCCTCTGCTGTCCCCCAACAGGCGGGAGACCTTTGATTTTGATGATGACTGTGACAGCCTGACGTGGGAGGAGAACGAGGACACGCTGCTGCTCTGGGAAGATTTTACCAACTGCAACCCGAGCATCGACCTGCAGGGCGAGGTGAGCCGGGGCCGCGGGCTCCCCGCCACCGTGACCCCCTAGCCCACTCTGTTTTCCCCTTGGAGCCCTCACCACCCAGCTCATCTGTCCTTTTTTTTTTTTTTTTTTGGGTTTTTGTCTGGTATCGGGAATCGAACTCACGACCTTGAGCTAGGCAGGCGCTGTGCCACTGAGCTAAACCCCCAGCCCCCAAAATCTCATCTGTCCTTTCTGTGCTGTTTCCCCAGCAGGAGGAAAACTTGGGCAACCTGATCCACGAGACCGAATCCTTCTTCAAGACGAGAGACAAGGAGTACCAGGAAACAATAGGCCAGATCGAGGTCAGGCTCAGGCCGTGGAGCCCCTGGAGAGGTCCCTAGTAGAGAACCCCTTGTTGAGTGCCCCTGTGAGCCTCAGGTGGTGGAGTGAGGCAAGCAGAGGCCCTGGGGACACAGCCTTCTTATGGTCTTAGTTTTCTAATCTATAAACTGGAGGTGTGATCCCTGCCTGTCCCAGAGCTGTTTTTTTTTTTAATTGTTCATTTGAAATGATGACCCTGGAATAACCAGAGACATTTTAGTGATATTAAATGATGCTAGGCACTGGGCAACATGTTACAGTTACACCCTTCTAGTATCCTTACTTCTACCCCTGCAGTAGGGACCATGCACCATTTTATAGAGGAGGAGATGAGGTGAAAAGGGACCAAGTGACCCGCCCCAGGCCTCCCAGCAAGGAAGCAATGTTCAAGCCAATCCACTGTGGCCCCAGAGGCTGTGCCCCTGACAGTTGTGTAACTGAGAATTAATGTTCTTATCATGCTGGGCAAAGACGAGGCTGGGGGAAATACCATTTGGCAGAGGAGAAGGGTCAGAAACACGAAGGAGACTTGAGGATTTCTCTGGTTGAGGCCACACGGAGGAGCCCAGTGAGGCTGTGCAGGTGGGAGGTACCAGAAGTGGGTGGGGCTTACCAGGATGGGTTGCTGGGTAGCCACACCCCTTGCCCAACAGCTCTTCAGAGAGCAGGGGGGCTTGATGTCCAAGAGGCAAGATCCTGAGGGCATGGTGGCTTCGATGGTGCCACCGCTGAGGAAGTGAGGAGGGAGGTTGCTCAGGACTCTGCCGGAAGGGTGGCTCGTCCTCACCCTTGTTCCCTGTTGGCTCCTCCCAGCTGGAGCTGGCCACAGCCAAGAGTGACATGAACCGACACCTGCACGAGTACATGGAGATGTGCAGCATGAAGCGGGGCCTGGATGTGCAGATGGAGACCTGCCGCCGGCTCATCAAAGGCTCTGCGGACAGGTACCTTGCCTGTGCTCCTGGGAGTCAGTGGTGGAGACCTTGAGGGGTACTTTCTGGGGCTGCACTTTATAGCCTGGCCATGTTCTGTCTTCCCAACCCATCCATCCATCCATCCATGCATCCATCCATCCATCCATCCATGCATCCATCCATCCATCCATCCATGCATCCATGCATCCATCCATCCATCCATCCATCCATCCATCCATCCATCCATCCATGCATCCATGCATCCATGCATCCATGCATCCATCCATCCATCCATCCATCCATCCATCCATCCATCCACCCAGGGAATATTAGTACACCTGCTGTGTACTAGGAGACTTACATATCTAACCTCTGGGAATTTCCCCAACAACTCTGCCTCCATTGTTTCAGCAGGTAGTTGTTGAAGGCCTACTGTGTGTAAGACTATGAGGATCTGGTGATGAACAGCCAGAACCTCTGCCCTCGTGGAGCTTATGCCCCACCTTGTGTGGAGCTGCGGAGTGGGAGAGGCAGGCAGGAGACTTCCCCGCTGTTTCTTAAATGGGCTCCCATCTATCGACAGGCAGAGCTTTCCCTTCCTTCTTTCCTGTCCTCCATCCCAGGGTCAGGTGGGTCTGTCGCAAGGAAAAAACTGATGTGTATCAGGCATGGCACACAAGGACAGAGCCCTGCCATCCACACACATAGCCTTGCTGGGGGACAGACACATTGGTAGTAGAGTAAGTTAGCATCTGGGGAATGCTTTGCACAAGCCACACATGTATGACCATCTTCCTATGCAAGAACCAATGGGGTAGGGGCTTGGCTCACCCTGTTCTACCTTAACTCACAGATCCCCCAGGACACACTGTTTGCACAGGCAGGTGGACAGCTTGCCCAAGGCCCCCAGCCACTTGTGATAGAGCCGGAACTGCAATGTAGTGCTGCTAACCTCCACCCTTTGTGCTCTGAGTTATTTGGGGGTGTACCGAGCATCTTCTGTGTGCCTGGACTTGGGTTGGATCATGTCAGGATTAGAACCAAGCCTGATCCATGACCACTGCTCCAGAGGAGCTTTCTGCCTGGAGACTAAGTAGAACCTGGGGCAGAGTGTCCCGAGAGGTCTAGGAGGCCACAGGTCAGGTGTTATCCCTTAACAATACGTAAGAGGACTTTGTTTGTGTCTCTCAGATCAGCCAGGACTTCCAAAAGATTAAAGGCTGCTAAGGAGAGAAGCCAGGGTGGGAACCCTCTGAGGGTGGACCTCACAGGCATGGCTGCTCAGCCTTCCCGCCCTTCGCCCCTCTGAATATCCCCCATTCTCCTGTGCTTCCCAGGAATTCACCGTCACCCAGCTCTGTGGCCAGCAGCGACTCAGGAAGTACAGACGAGATCCAGGATGAACTGGAGCGGGAAGCAGATGTCGAGCCCATGGTCAGCTGATGACGGAGGCCCCTTGCGCCTAGTGGTGTTAGTGGTGGGGCCCTGGCCCCCTCGCTGCACTGGGCCAGGAAGGCTCCTCGCTCATAGACTTCCTCTGCTCTCCTTCTCTGGAAGCGCTGAGGGACTGCTGCTTCCTTCCTTCTCTCCGTCCACACCGCCCCACCACTGACCAGTGCCCCTTCTCCATCCGCCCACCTACCCACCCACGGAATGGTGCTGTCAATTTCTATTGTTCTCCACGTTACAAATGCAGACTTCTGTCCGGACGATGCAGTGTTAACTGTGCCTTCTCCCTTATGCTGAGCCACTTTGAGCTCCAAAGAATTATTCCTAGCAGGTGTTTTTATACAAAACTCTAAGGCGAAGGCGGGACCTGGGTGTGGCATCAGGTGGTTTTCTACCCTCCCACCTGCTCCTGATTGGCCATGAGCTTTGCCCTTCCTTCTGCTGGCGTCGGCGCTGGCGCTGGTGCTGGCGCTGGCTGACTCCACGCTTGGGGTGATCTGCCAGTCGTTACCTCCAGCCCTGGGTGGGGGCCTCTCAAATTTTCTCACTCTCTGGAAGAGAGAAAAGTGGAAGGAAAGGAGGGAAGACCAATTTTTATTTTCTTTTTCGGATTTAGTGGCAAAGTGGAGGGATAAGGTACTGTGGGGGAGTAGGTGGAGCCTCACTGTGTTTAAACTACTATGCAAAAAAAACAAAAACAAAAACAAAAAGCAGCTTGCCTTATATCATTGTGGAAGGCAGGCCCTCTTCCAGGCTCTTGGTTTTTCCCCTGGGGCTGGGAGGGAGGCCAAGGTTCCGACGATCGATCGCTCTCTTGCAGCCTCCCTGGTGAGCACTGGCTGGGGAGGGGTCTGGTTAATAATAAGGCTGATCTCGTGGGCTGCGCTCCTGCAGGGCCCGGCGCACCTGACTGCTCGCTTTCTTTGGGACCTTTGTGGGTTTGGGGTGTGGGTGGGGGTCTTTTATCGTCCTGATGACTTGATGTTCTCCCCTCCCTCTCTGGTCAGCAATAAGGGGCTTTACAGCTGTCATTTCTCTGTGAGAAAGTCTGAAGAAGCCCAGCCTGGTACCACTCAGTCCCCGGTGGAGTTCAGAGGGGAGCACCAGCCCGTCGCCGCCGTGGTTCTCCACTGTCCCATGGTCACCGGCTATTGGTGCTGACAGCAAAGAGATTGGCAAGCGGGGGGCGGTGGAGGTGGCCACTGGTGGCTCAGAGATGGCTTGTGTAGGAGCTGAGGGAGTGCCACCCTCGTTCCCCTCGGGGACACACACGAGCCTCTTTCTGTAATTCATCTGACCCCTTGGGAGTTCATCTGAGCCAGTATCTCCCCTGTGTTGAAGGGTCTTGTGTTGAGAACACCACCAGATCTGAGCTGGGAACCAGGCCGGCAAGCAGGCTTTGCTTTTTTTTTTTTTTGTCTCCTCTTTCTTCCCTTTTTGGGCCCACTACAGTGGAGTGAATGACCATGTGGGGTTTTGTTGGCCGAAGAGCTCCCTCTGGAGGTCAGAAGAGCAAAATGTGCTTGAGGACCAGAACTCAGTACCTGCCAGTGTGGAGGCCCAGTGGGTGCTGGGCCGGAGGGGTGGCGGTCTCCTGCCTTCCCTGTGCAGGGTGCCACTGATCTGTAAGGGCCTTCTCGCTCTCCCTGTTTTGCATTTTAAAACCATTGTATATAATATTCACATATATGTATATAGAGAGAATGAGAATGTATTGGTGACCGTGTGATGTAATTTATCAGAACTCCGTGGCCTTTCTCATGAGTTTTCCCCCGTGTTTTGTTTTGTACTGCTGGGAA